ACTACCTTTTAAATACCAAATAACATGATCCTTATGGTTTAGAAATATAGTGTGCTTTTGGAGGGGAGCATGAGAGGCTGGGAGTGGCTGAGGCAAGAGGCAGCAGGTAGCTGTGGCTGGCAGGAGTGGTGCCCAGGACCCACGCTGCTGCCCACCTGCTTGTCCCACCCTCAGCAATTCCCAGGCATGCCTGCATGCCGGAAGAGCAGCTGGGGTCCCAGAGCTCACCATGGCTGGGCTCGGGAAGGGCTACAGCTGCCCTCCCTTTCTGGCACTTCCTTTCCTGCCAGGGCCAGAACCAGGGCCACTGTGGACAACAAGGCCTTCACCAAGGAGCGAGACCAATGAGTGGAGCACCTCACCAAGGACCAGGTGCATACACTGTGTGAGAAGACTAAGGAAAAAATGTTTTAAAGGTTTTTGCCATAGGGGTGCATATACTCACCAGAGAGACAATGAGGAGGAAAGTAAGATACACACCCCAGAGGGGTTGGCCATGCTGCAATCCCTTCTCCATTCTCCTCCTGGGATTTTGGGCACACATGCACATGCACCCAGCATGAGTTTCAAGCTGCCAGGTCTGGGACTTGAACCTCAGCCAGCCATGTGGGAGTCCAGCACCTTAACCACTATGCCACCTATTGGCCCTGAAGACTAAGGACATTTTAACAGGAAGTGTCAAATGTACAAGACATTTGTCGTCCTGTTACCATCCTCAGAGATGTGCACAGTGAATCCATGATCTTAAGGAGCTCATTAGAATCAGTGGGAAATCACCAGACTCAAACTCTCTTTTCATTGGTGACTATGTACACAGAGATTATTACTCAGTGAAGACAGATTCTTCTTGTAGCATTAAAAATGCATTACCCAGAACACTACACAATATTGAGAAGAAACCATGAAAGTCGACAAATCACCCAAATGTATGGCTTTTATGAGGAATGTCTGCTGAAGCAGGAAATACGAATGTTTGGAAACACTTCAGAGATCTGTCAGACTACCTTCCACTTACAGCTTTAGGGAATGGACAAGTATTCTACCTCCATAGAGGCCTTTCTCCATCCATAGTCACATTAGATCACAGAAGAGCCCTGGATCATTTTCAGGACGTTCTTCCACATGAGGACCCAAGGTGTGATCTGCTGTGGTCAGACTCCGATGCCTGGGGCAAGTGGGACACCTCTCCACATGACCCTGGCTACATGTTTGGACAGGACATTTCTGAAATATTCAACCATGCCAGTGGCCTCACTGGTTTCTCATGCTTACCAGCTTGTGAAGGAAAGATGCACTTGGTGTCATGTTTGAGATGTGGTCACCATTTTCAGTGTACCCAATTACTATTGGTGCTGCAGGAACTAGGCTGCTATCATGGAGTTAGACGACTCTCGGAAATATTCCTTCCTTCAGTCTGACCCAGAGCTTCCATGGGGAGAGCCTCATGTGACCCAGTGCACCCCAGGCTACTTCTCGTGAATGTCTCCTAGGAAAACTTGCCTTTACATGTGTAAGTATACCTGGCTTTAAAAATATATATGTATTGGGGACCAGCAGATGGTATAATGGTTACATCACTGGACTCCCACGAAGTTGACCGCTGTTCAAGTCCTGGGCTCAGCAGCTTGAAACTCACACTGGGCACGTGTGTGTACACACCCAAAATCCCGAGAGGAGAGTGGAGAAGGGATTGCAGTATAGCCATCCTCCCTGGGGAGTGATTTCTCGCTGTCTCGCTGTCTTTCTGTGTCTCTCTCTCTGGTGAGCACACATGCCCTATAGCAAATACTTCTCTCTAAAAACGAATAAATAAAAATATATGTATTTAAAAACCAACAAGGAAAAGCAACAGTAATCTAAGCATTTCTGTAACACACTGAGATGTGTCATGGTATTAAACCACAACTGTCATCCTGATGATGAGCAGTTAGCACAATGTGAGACTGCAATCGAACACATGGCACTCTAGATCAGCAGTCCAGAGGTCTGCCTGCTGTGTCTGTAGAAACCATTGTTCTCTGGATTGTTCAAGGCAAAAAGGTAACTAACTATCTCTTTTGCCCTTACTTAGGAATCTTAGTCACAGTGTCTAACGGGCATAAATTAATAGAGTTGGAATTTTTAAGAAAAATTCACAAGCTAGCTTCCACTTAATCCATTACCCTTTATTTTATTGAAATGTATAATTAACTGAAGAAAAGACACTTCTTGGGAGTATGCTGTCATAACATTTAAAGAGATTTCCCTTCATTTAAATTAAATTACTGTTTTATATTGATCTGCATATTTCTGTATATTTGTCATGACAGTACTTGCATCCTATTAACAAGACAAAAAAGACAAAAAAGGAAGTATTTTATGCTTTTAGTATTTTTTTTAAACTTTCTCATTGAAGAAGCCATACCAACTTCTGAATTATAAATTTAACACCAACTTTGCAGATGTGCCTGAAAGGCAAAATTAACAAAGGCAGTTATAAAACATGCTCTTACAATGATTCATCAAAGGCTTTAACTATGATTTGATGTAGGGGCTTAAAATTTAATTTCCTAAATACAGAAAATCTTCATTTTCTTCTGAATACCATTTGTTAAACCATTCCAACAGGAGCTAATTCTGTTACACAAAATTTTAAATAGACTAAAAAAATATTTAAAATCTAAGTTGCTTCCTATTAAGGTATAGATTCAGTCTGAACTATTAATGTAAATGTTAGAAAGCTATGCCACAGTCACACTCAATCTTTTATAGAACTCACACAGACTATTCAAGCATGATGAAAACATTACAGATAACATGTAGCTGTCCAGAAAGATAATCACCCCAAGGCCTGAGAGCTAGTTTTTGCTAACATGGGATCTTGAGCTGCTCCACTCAATAGGTAGTTTCTTTTTTCTTTTTTCTTTTTTTGGAGAGGTTTTTGCTATAGGGCGCGTGCGCTCACCAGACAGACAGAGAGAGACAGAGAGACAGAAAGCAAGAAATCACCCCCCGGGAGGATGGCCACGCCCGCAATCCCTTCCATTCTCCTCTTGGGATCTTGGGCACGCACAGACACGCACCTGGCGTGAGTTTTAAGCCACCGGGACCAGGACCGGGACGCGAACTGCGGTCAACTACATGGAAGCCCAGCGACATAGCCATTACGCTAACTGCTGGTCCCTCAATAGGTAGTTTCTCAACTCAGGTGTGGGCAAAAAGGCAACTGGAACCAGAGGGAGACACAGATGCTCAGGCATTAGTGATGGCAGCAAATCCATCTACCCCTTGCCAGCCAGATTTGGAGGACCAGGACCCCAGCTGCTCTATTGTGGACAAACATGAAAAATAGAAAGTAGGTGAAGTTATCATGGGATATGCTGTCACTCTTCTAGCTAATGCATTATCCGATTTCTACTAAGCTACAGCTCCGCCTTCCTTCAGCAGGCACAATGGAGGGTGTCCGCCAGAGTGGACAAAGTAAGAGACAGCACTACAGTGGGATCTCAGTTACACAGCCTCTAGGATCAGTTTGTGCACTTGCTTTGAGTGAAACAGGAAATGAAGCTAAGACCCCTGAATAAGGAGCAACTGTTAAGAATTACTTAGGAATCTTATTGTAGTTCTTGAATTTGTGTTTGTAAGATTTGTTTTCTGGAAAGTACTGTGATTTTCTTAAACTATTAGTAATGGTAGCCCAGGATATAAAGCATATTTCTCACATATTTGGGAAAAATCAACTACCTCTTACTAGTGGGCAAAAATAACTATAATCAACTGAAACCTCAATTCAAGTAAGCACTACTATGGAAATATAAACGTGGCTTCACTGAATGCACCTGTCAAGATTTTAATGCTGTTAAAACAAGTTAAATGTTAGCCTTAACAAAGACAAAAGTGATTTTTGTTTGGTTTGTTAATCGATTCAGTAAGTATTTATTGAGCACCTATTATGCTTCAGGATCATGCTGGGAAACCAGTGGTAGGTAGGAGTCCCAGTCTCTACTGACAAGGAGTTTCTCACTCTTAATTTTAGAATAAGCAGAGTACCTACTTCTTTTCTTCAATCACCGGAAAGAATAAGCCATTCACCAGAGAGAAAGAGAGAGGGAGGGAAGGAAAGGAGGGAAAAAGCATCCCCCCCATCCATGGGGTATAGTCTTGCTACAGTCCCTGCTCTTCCATTTCTTCATCCTGTCAGGATTCTGGACAGGTACATATGTACCTCAACACACACACACACACACACACACACACACACACACACACCACCACCACCACCACCACCACCACCACCCCTAGAATGTTTCTCAAGTAGTCAGCACCAGGACGCGAATTTCGGTCAACCATGTGGGATCCAACACCCTTAATAACTAAACTATGGGGCTGACCCCAGAACTCAACTTTTAAAATAAACAAGAGACTTATTACTTCAGTAAGAACTGAAAACTGAGGCTGCCCACACAACTCTTTTGAGGCTTTGCAAATGTTTTTGGATTCTAGTATCACATGTTAACAATACTCATAGCTAATACCTAAGTACAGAAGCAAATTGTGAAGTTAGGGAAATACTGTACATCAAGATGATTTCTGAAATTCAAATGATGAACTATGAAAATATACACATTTGTTATAAAAAAACAGAACCTGATGTTTAAAAGAATGATCATAATTTCAAGATGACATTTCTTTTTTATTACAAAGCCATGGCCACATCCACTAGTACTGGCACAATTTCTAAGTTTCAGATTTAACAACATAGACCAATGGATCCTTATTTCCAAGCAAATGGCAGTCGACCACCAAGAGCCAAAGCTCACTTGAATTAAAACCGCAAAGCTTTGTGGAGATTTAGCATAGTAGAAACGAATTAAACACTCAATGCCACTTACCTTGTAATCACGGGATACAGTTTCTGATGTCACTGACCCTGAAATCTGACTAGAAATTGTAGCAGCTATAAGCTGTTTACACCATTCAACATGTGATCCTGTAGGACTAAAAGAAATAGTGTGATTAACAATTTTTAAATGAGCTCTTGGGGAGAAAACAGAGTGGAACAGAGACATAACCAACATTTCATTTTTTTAAGTGAACAAAATTTATGACACTATGGTTATCTTTATGCTTAATGCAAGAACTGAGATACTGACTGATAACCAGGATGTAAGATTGGTTCTGGGTGAATTTTAAATGAATCAACCAATATTCTCAAAAAATAAAAGGTTAAGATTCTAAGTGTTAGACATTTAAGCATGCTATTCTCTACCAGGTAATGGAATTTTACTCTGTTACGATTATGTGGGAAAATATTCTTAATGTCATGTATATATAATATTAGTTCTAAAGTGAAATATTTATCTTACAGTATATGCTTTTCACAGTCAATAGATTTAATGTTGTTAGTTTTAAATCTAGAAAATAGTGTCTTTTCAAGTGAACCAAAGTGACTTTTTTTTTTTTTTTTTGCCATAGGGCACAGGCATTCCCCAGAGAGAGACAATTAAGAGAGAAAATGAGAAATCACCCCCTTGGGGGGGATAGCCATGGGCAATCCTATCTCCTCCATTGTCCTTGGATTCTGGACACACACACACACACACACACACACACCCAGCATGATTTCCAAGCCTCCAGGTCTGGGACTCAAACCATGGTCGGCCATATGTGAATCTGGCACCATAAAAACTATGTCACCTGCTGGCTACCCAAAGTGACTCTTAAAGGACCAAAACTGATTATATAATGTTTTAAAGAACAGACAAGAGAAATCACATCCTCTGTGCAGTAATACTGCTACCTGACATTTCTCGAAGTGCTTTGACAACTTACAAAAGGTTCTAATTGTTACCACATCAGAGCCTCACAAGATGGTATGCCAAGAAAGCAGAACAGGGACTAGCCAACTGGTTTTTGAAGTGACAAAACTGAGGTGCAGAGGTGGCATGGCATTAGAACATGGCTGTCCTTACAGGACATGGCACAAGCGACAGTGACCAACTCACTGAGCTGAAGCCAGAACCACATGATACCCAACTGCCTTACATGAAAACAATGATGCAAAGCAGATTGCATCTTCCACTTCCATAGTGCTCCAAAGTGTCCGAAGCATTTGCACTCAGGTAGCCTTACTCAGCCAGCCTCAGAGACCCATGTCACGGATGAGAAAACCAAGGTGATGGTTTTGTTCAAGGTCACATGACTGCTAAGTGGCTGAGCTGTGCTCCCCTGAACTGAAGGACCACAGTAAGAATTAAAAATGTCCCTGGTGGCTGGTCTCCTCTGAAGATCTGTCAAAATGTGAAGAAAGCAAGCAAAAGCAAGCAAGAGCACCAAAGACGCTTCTGAAAGTTTACCCTGCAGGTAGCTTTCACTGTAAAGAATGTTTCAGGTCTTTAAAAAATCACATCATTAATTAAATACACACTCAAGTATCTGAAAAACAGAACAACTAGAATCCCCAGGCAATATGTAAAATAACCTAGATAATAAAATAAAACTGATGTCCTGTACCAGTGATCTAAACTGCAGTCTCTGATCAGAGTCCTGCTGCTTTCTGTTGTGACTCAAAAGACAAGAACACTTGCTGAATGGGGACATTGCTATCCTATGCCAGGAATCTACTTCCGCCATTGCAAACTAGGGGGAGAAGGAGAGAAAAGGGAGGGAGTTTAAGAGGAAGGGCTGGGGCCAACAGGTGGCATGGTGACTGAAGTGCTGGATTCCCATATGGCCTACCATGGTTCAAGTCCTGGACCTGGTGGCTTGCTTTCTCACTTTCCCTTTCTCTCTGTCTCTCTCTGGTCAAATTAAAAAAAAATAATGATAACAAATGGAATTGAATAAATAAATAATTCTTTAAAAAAAAAAAAGAGGAAGGGCTAAGGCACCTTTCTGCATGCTTATCTCATAGTTGCCATCTGCCCAGCATCTCTTGGCCTTCTGATAAGGACACTTCTCCTTCCTTTGGGACAGCTGCTCACACATCAT